TTAAACCCATAATGGTTCACTTACATGCCAAAACAAACAGTTAAGCTGTATTAGTTTTTTTGTTTCTGAGCACCGTAAACTGTAAAAGCTCTAATGACTCTCCCACAGACAAATCAAAAAGCAATAATGGGTGTTTTTAAAGATAACATTCAGAATCAGGAGTCGGTTGCTCTGCTCCTTTAGAAACTACAAAGCTTTGTTTCAGAATTCAAACTGATTTTTGAAGATGCATTTATCGAGCTCTGGAGGAGCTTAACATTTCAGGCGCCACTGCACTAAAATGCTATGAGACTGTACTGGCCCTCTACAAATTAGTTACATTTCTAACTCTTCTGATGATAATTTGGGTGGATTTTAGCATTATTTTGTAGATTTTATATTATTGGCATCAGCATTAGCTTTGACACATATGTACATAAGAAATAACAGCTATTGGCATCATCCCAAAATTCCCATATCCGTGCATCCTTATAATCAGTGATGTAAGACGGATATAAAACTGGATAGTGGAGGCTGAGATGAGAAAATTTCCCCACCATGTCATGACCACCCACAGGTGACACAGTGAGTTCATGCTATGGTCATGGACCATTGCTTTAATCGGTCTGATTCTTGCACGCATTTCTGATTTTATGCACCACTTCACATGTAGGGGAATGACTTTGCTATGGAGGTTCAAAGATAAAAATGGACTAGTTTGAAAGTGGTTGATGTTTAGAATTACTGAAAACTACCAGCATTATGCATCAGCATTTCTGATCTTTGATAGCTTTGGCTCACTATTATACATATTAGCATTTTTGGGTGAAATATATTAAATTAAACCATAAACGCCATTTCTGTCATAATGTGCCATTCACGTCCCAGTCCATATATGGAAACTACGCTGCACAAACAGCTCATTTAGAATTGGTTGTTTTTGTGATGAAAACCAACACATTTATACATATATCCGCCTATTTAGCCTACAGCAGTTTAGACCCACCTGTTGAAGTTATAAAGAGTGTTCCATCCTGGACTGCTTTTTGAATGAGGCACAATACAGGGCAGTCACACAGAACAGAGAATACCAAATCTATTTCTCTGTTTGTAATGAAACATGTAGTTGGTCAGTGTTTTTTAATACGGATGATATCCATGATATGCTCTGTGTTGTAATTCAGCGCCATAATGATAATAGTGAAGGCCATACACCCCAGCGAGTTATGCCTGTGTTCTAACCTGAGGCAGTTCTCCTGTCTGCCACTGCCCTTCCACCTGCCCCCAGTCTTGGAGTGTGGGGAATCCTGGGGGTTCCCCCCCTCCATCCCACTGTGCAGAGGATTAGCACTCCATGCCCTGAGCAGATTGCCCTCACTCTGTGCCAGAGCCATCTGCACTCCTAGCATTAGCAGCAAGCGCTGGGGTTTTCCTCTGACTTAACATAGTTGCCCCCACTAACCTCAGCCTACTGACATAAATGTAATAGTAGGTCAACAAAGCACTACTCACAGACAGTGTGCATGAATCCAGAGTAATTTCTCCTGACCTGTTCTTTCACATGATGGATGGATAGGTCTAGTGTTTTAAATGGGATCTGATGCTGCTAATTCCTGACCCAGTTTTATGTTCGCCAAATTGGCGTATAAAACGCCAATTTGTTGCTCTATTAACTATTTTGTTGGAGACCCTGAATAGATTGTGTGAACTAGGACATATTTACACTAGCTAGATTGTTTCCCCCCCTTTTGTGTTTCATTATCTAACATCCTGTTCTGCATTAAAAATAGCTTAGTTGCACTGATGAATAGGATGCTGTATGCCATGATCATACCAGAAATAAAATATAAAGTATAATGCCTATTTAGGTTCTTTGGCAGCTCTGCTAACAATGAAGCCTGTTACTTATGTAATTAGAACTACATTTGTCAGATCAAAATGGAGATGGAATCAAAGCTCGAGCCAGCCCATAATGACTAGGTGTAGATTATGTAGTGGTGACAAGTTGACTCAAGGATAGAGCCCCATAGTGTGGTGGAGGGGGCCCTCCTCAAAGCTCCTTCAGTCGTGCTCTCTGTGATTAGCAGGGGTATCGAGAGGCCTCCTTTAGAAAACTCAAAGTAAACTCTTGCTGCCACAGTTGGCATCCAAGTTTATTATTTGTCTGCTCTCTAACCACAGCATCGATTTTCAAAGTAGGCCTCACTTTTAGAAAGCTTTTCTAGAAAAGCTACCAGAAGCAAGGAACAGAAAAACAGCATGCATGGCAAAGATCTAGCAAATGGCAGGAATATTGAAAGACTTAACCCTAATGGAAAAAGCGAAGTGATTCTGAAAGACCACCCTCACAGTGTGACAAATGCTCTTGGATCTGCCATTGTTGGAGTCGTGCGTATTGGATTTGTGTTCCTCTTTGAAACTCTGTCTGAGGCCATGGCACGGGTTTTATTTTTAACTTCCATTACCTCAGTGTTTGGACCGAATGAAAAAAGCAACAGGAAAGGTATTTTTCCTGAAATGTAATCCTTATGCAGAAGAAAAGGCTGTATCACTGTTTTTTGTCAGTCTGGAGAGCAAATGTTAATGTCCCTAGCAGAGGTCCTTGATGCATGTTTCTTTGATTTTTGTTTTCCTCTCTGCCTTTGTTTTTTTCTTCTAGATGGTAATTTTTATTCTAGAGGTTAATTTCATTAACCTCTGTTTATTGACAGTCCAGTGTTATGAGAACCAGTCCAAACTGATATTATTTCAGTCTACCTCAACATCAATTTAAATATGTTTTAGTTAATTAGGTCATTTTTTATCATTTTATCATCACTCTCTTAAAAGTAAACATTCCTTAGGTTCTTGGCTCAGTTCTAGTAAACCTTTTACTGGTATAAAACCTTTATATTAACACTTTGTTTTAGGAGTGTATGAGGGTCTTTAAACTTAGCATCTAGCATCTCATTAACAAAAACAGTAGTTTAAAGAACCATCTATTGAAAGGTTCTAGGGAACTACGAGTGGTTCTTCTATAATTTTGCTCTTATATGGCTCCTTTATTTTTAGAAGTGTACTATAAAAAAGGGAGCCACAAAGTGTTCTTTAGGTGATGCCATAGAAGAGCTGCTTTTGGTTACCTAAAGAACCATATTTGAAAAAGACATTTGTGAACATGAATAACCTTTACAGGTTCTTCCTAGCACCTTCACGTTATGTGGAGGTTCTTTAAACTTTGAAAAGAATCTTAAGACTCACAAATCTCGTTTTAAGAAATTGTGTGTAAGAAGTGGTTCTTCTATGGCATCGTGCAAAGAACGCTTTTCGGCACCTTTGACATTAAGAGTGGAAGTACGGCAGTGACGCCATCGCATGCCCTGCAGGCTTAGACCATTGTGTCTGTGAGGAGGATAATACTGGTATGGCAATGTATAACAGTGAGTACACCCTGGCAGAAGTGTCCTCTTCAGCGCTTAATCCCTGTTCATGGGCTCTCTATGTGGGTCAGTTTGATGAAAAGAAGTTGCCAGCTTTGTCGGAGAGGAGGATGAAGAGGATGTTGTAACTGGCAGAGGCTCTCTTCTATGTCATCAGCCTCTGGGTGTTTGCAAACGGTATATAGTGTCAAAGACCAGAGGGAACGATCCCTGGCGATCCAGCCATGTAATCACCATGTATTTCATTTTAAGCTTCTATGTTTTACATGGAGATTTAAGAGTAAATTGTGACCCAAGTCGAATGCTAAAACCTGTTGTTGTTGTTGTTGTTGTTTAAATGGCTTCAAGTGTATGTTGAAAACAAATTGATTTTATGAATGTACATTTGTTGTCAGAGAATTAAAGGCTTGTATTTAAATTTCTCATTTAATTGTTTAAAGAAAATCACAATATAAATTATGCAACTGTTTAGGCCACATAGTGACTGAACTATGTAGGCCAAGTGTACATCAGGGGACGTCATATGGGGGTAATTGTGACAGGAGAGAGGGGCGGTGCTAATCCTATTATAGGCATGTCTTTTTCGGGGTGAGTCTGGGGTCCACAAACCCTCCTTATCACAGGGACAGGATGCTACAGCACAAGACGCTTTTACACTCTTAAAAGGAAATGTGAAAATGAGGTAATAGAGAGTGGGGTAATGTATGTTTTAACATGTAGCTTTGATTCACTTTGAAAGTCAGCATTGATATTCCAGGAACTTTTTGGTAAAAACTGCTGATTTTATATTTTTCTCGTGTGTGTTTGTTTTTTTTAAGTGTAGAAATGTCTTTTGATATGTTTTGATTGCATCTTTTAGATATGTTTCATATACGAGTCTGAGAACATTGTGCTTGGACAATTAGTATTACACAAGAAGTCCTAGAATGCTTTTGTGTATTCATGCTCTATTTTCAATAATCTCCTCACTTAATGCAATGTTGATATATTGCTGATGCACTGTATTAAAACACTTTTCAAATACTTAACCTTATATAAGTCAGATTAAGATGCCATTAACACAGATAAGCTATAAAAACATCTAGTTGTTGGCAAGGCCTGTGTGGGAGCTTGGACTGTGTATACGTAGCTTGCGATCACCACAAGGGTGTGTTATTTTGAGACCAACCCGAAGTAGCAATTTGATTGTGGTTGCAGCCAAGAGTATATACTTAAAAATGTCAGAAATGTGGTTTGTGAGTCTGTCAGGCTAAAAAAGAGCTTCAGCTGCACCATAGTAACATCTGGCCAGTGGTTTGACCATTTGCTATCAGGTGAACATATACAGTCAGGCTGAATAAGACAGAAAAGTTAACTGCCTGCCATTGTGCGTCTTCCTATGTGTTCTAATGTCAGTCAGAGGAAGGTAAATGCCTGGCTGATTATGTTCCATTTTCTTGTGTGAACTAATGTCAACATCTGGCCAGTGGTTTTACTATTTATTGTCAGGTTAGCATCTAAACAGTCAAGCTGAATGTGTCGTTAATGGGAGCTAAAAGCCTGTGTGATTATGATGCATCTTTCAATGTGTTCTAATGTCAGTTCAATCTTCTCCTTTTGTAGGTGATCGTGGCGCCTGGAAGTAAGAATCTAAGGCTGCTATTTGCAGCTTTCCAGCATTTTCTGCTTTTACTCAGCTGGAAATTGGATTTGGAATGAATCAAGCAGACTGGCTAATGGCACATATTCTCTGGTTACCCCTCGTAGTGTAGAAAGCCTTCCCCTCCATCTTCCCCTGTCTTTGTTTTTCTGAATGACATCATGGCCCTTTGTAGGCCAAGCGTAACATCAGGGGATGTCAGTTCCGGAGGGCCGAAGTTTGAGGGGCGCTGCGCATTTTTAGCGAGTCTGGCTGAGATGGAGGCAAGCCAGATTTTCCATATCTGATTTCGCCTCACAGAATCACTGGGTAGAACCTTGGCCCACCATGCGGGGGAGGCCTGAGCAGGCCCAGCACCAGCAGCTAGGATGCCGATCACCCAAGAGAACGCACTGAGCCACTTGCCCTTGCTGGAGAGCTGGCTAAGTGCTCACGCCGGGGACCAGGACCAGGACCAGGAGGATGAGTTCAGTAAGAACACAGGCGGCATCGCCCTGTGCCAGGCTGCTATCCGCAAGCTGGTGGAGTACATCCAGTTGAACTTTACTGAGTGCGAGAGCCTTCCTTGTAACGGCACTCCGCTTAAGGAGGAAGTAGACGCGGAGGTGAGGGCAGTCTGTCTGAGCAAGGCCAATGGAGATGGGTCAGAGTTCGGCCTCAGCTTTGGCAACATCCCCATTTTTGGGGATCCTGAGGGGAAGAAGAAAGGACGGCGGAGGCGCAGGAAAGGTGATAAGGGCCCTGTGCTGGATGTAGGGTGCATCTGGGTTACGGAGGTGAAGAAGAAAAGCCCAGCAGCACGCTGTGGAGACATCAAGCTGCGGGACGAGCTGTTGTCGCTCAACGGGCAGCTGATGGTAGGCGTGGACGTCACTGGAGCCAGGTAGGACGCATTGTACATTTAAAGATGTGTGGACCTGATGTTCTATTCCAGCCATGTTGATTCTGTAGTTGAACACTTGAAACAACACTTTAGAAATGCTCTCATAAAAAGTGCTAGAGTAAAGCATCATTGCAGTTCTTTGACCTGTTGTCATGAGGCTCAGCCCTACTTTGTAAAATTTAGTGTCACCTCATTCATTCCAGCTGTGCTGATGCTGTTGCTGAATATTTGATACAGTTTCTCAGCTCTTCTGATGCTTATCAAATTGATTATTCCACGGCCAGTGACACACCCACATCACTATAAAAGAGCCGCTAACAGATCCAGCAGCCACCGTGTATAAATTGCAATGTCCCTGTCTCTTTCCATCATGTTGGAAGAAAAAGTTACTAAAAAGTTAGTTTCTGTGGTGCAACTTGTTTTGATTTAGTAGTATGTAAGCCTGAACTTAGTAAACATTTACATTATAACTAGCCTGTGTTTAAGCTAGCGTGCAATTGGTGCAACTGGCCCTTGGCCCAGGGCCAGAGAACATGCTTCCCGCCCATGTTCATACCTCCCAGTGTTGACACGAGAATACACATAATTCATGCAGATGGTTTCTTGTCTCTCATTTTTGGCTTTTCAGTTGAAGCATCAGGCAGTATCTGTCCCCCATTCATGCTGGTAACATTCACTTTCAAACAGTTTCACACAAAAAACAAATTAAACATTCATTCCTTTTCCTTCAGTGTGATTGGATGGCATACTGACAGAGATTGCACACCATTTCTTTTTTCCCACCCTTGTATTGCCAAGGTGGAAAATGTGTTACACTGCACCGTGTGCAATGGAATTGGGCAAAAAATGGAATGTGTCGTTACGCTAAGACTTTTCTATTCATTGCCCAGACAAACTCTTATGTACTTGGAATAAAATTCTAAACTGATTTCTCATCTAACAGTTTTCTCATTATGCTCAGATACCACTGTGTCCAGTTTATGGGGCAGTGAAAAACAAAAACCATGGGAACTGGCACATAGATTCCTAACTGGCATCGAGGCTTCCCTACTTTTTTAATGCTTGTCTAATTGGTTACTCCATGGCCAGTGATGCACCCACAGCAGCTATAAAATGGCCACTAATGGAATCAGCAGCCACTATGTATAACTTGCCATGTCCGTATCTCACTGTCTTTAACCAGTATGAACACAGTTGCCAGTTAGTGTGCCTTTTTTGTAGTTTACTTTGCCCCTAGCAGTTATACACCGCAATTAGGCAGTGTCTGTTTTGCTGATTAACAATAGGAACTTTTCTGAGGAGGCACAGATTCTGCCCTCACCGCGGCCCAAACTGGACCTGTCATCCGTGCAAACGGACAGACAACACGATGTGGGAAGGGAGGAGGTTCCTGGGAGTGGTGCAAGCTTTTGACCAAGACTAAGTTATCCCCACAGATGTATCATTTTCGCAAGTGGAGGAAAGGCTGCTGCTGGCAGGATATTTCAGCGAGAGACACAACATATTGGTTGTTTGGGAACAGACACGCAAAGCACAAGAACAGCCAGGAAAGCAGCACAGTTGCGTGCTAGTGTGCTAGAGAAGAAGGCATCTCATCTTGTCTGTGACATGGGAGTTGTTTTCCAGGGGGTCTTAAAGCAGCTTACTTATGTTGTAAGCAGCCTGAAAGACAGACATTCTGTCCTACTAGCATCTTTTACGCTTTATATCTAGCAACAGTGATATCCAGAGGAGCAAAAATTAAGGACTTTGATGGGAAAGAAGGCTTGCTGAGGAAAAGTAGCCATAAAGATTTCTCAGATAAACTGTTGTGGCTGTGGATGGAATAAGTGTTGCTTTAGTATGGGGTCTTTGAGGCTAAGCTATAATCCTGAGAACACAGGTGGCTGAGTGTTGGAAACTTAAGCAGATTGATAAAGTTACAGCCTTTTTAAGATACCTTAATACAAGAACTTGCTCTGCTCAGCAAAGCAGGTAATCCCTTCAGCAGCAGTAAAACATCAACAGACACTTTCTTATGGACCGAAGGAAGAATAATCTTTGTTGGACACAATTGAGTGAAAGTAAATTTATTACATATAAAATATACAGCATTAGGTGCATTACTGTGCAAAAGTCAGAGACCCTTCATTTTTTTAATTTCCAGTCAAAATGGCCATCAAGTATAAGTTATTCATTTTCAGGAGATCTATTTCTGAGGAGATATAAGATAATCCCCTTGCACAAGGATGGAGGAAGTCAAAGAGAGTTTTCAAAACTGGAGTTTCAAAAATTATTAAAAGATGTAGAGTGAATGTGACCCGTAACAATTGTGCAAGACCCAGTAGACCTGATGGGAGTAAGTTCCATTCTTGCTTCAGATCTGAAAAATGTGTCCACAGGAGTTTCTGTCCATCCTTCCACTGTGAGAAAATTCAATGCTATGAGTCCAAAAGGATGTGTAGCTGTCCAGAAGCCGTTACAGAGAAAAATGAAGAACATTTTCAAATCAAACAAAGAAGCTGCTGGTGTTCTTATAACAATAGCTTGTACACTCCATAGCCCAGGCCTCAACATCAGTGAATGTTTTTGGGATTACTTACATTGCTAAAACACAGAAAATGCAACCAACTTCTAAGACTGAACTTCAGAGGTGTGGAAAAACATGCTTGCAGGTTTCTTTGGAAAACCTTCTGCAATGTGAGGGAGCTCATAAAGCTACTGCAGAAAGAGCTGCTGTACTACTTCAGATTCTTCTGTCCCAAATAAGATAAGGACATAATAGGCAGCTTGCTTTGAGACTGGACAAAAAGGGACCTGGTCTAAGAAGTCTGAAGACTGACCACAGGAATCTGTTTTTTTTTGTTTTTTTTTTCTTGTCACGTTAGCTCTCAGAGCTTGAAGATATGGAGCTGGACTACAGCACCACAGCACCATCACAGAAGTGAATACTTTGTCCATTCCTGTCTTTGCTGCTCCCTCAAGCTAAACTTAAGTGTAGCTAGCATTGTAGCTGCTTGTTCCCATAGAAGGTCTGGCAGAAGTGAGCCTTGGGGTGGAGACCACTCTGCCAAAGGCAAGGCTGTAAACTGTTCAAAAGCACTGGACTTAAGCCCCCAAGTGCAAAAAAAGAGACAGCCGGTGAAGACTTTATTTTTTATCAAGTGCTTTTCATGTTAATGGTTTCAGTACAGAACCTTGGGCCTGAAAAGAACTTGCCACAGGAAAAAAAACTCTCCTAGTTTAATGTGTCTTCTTGTAATTTTGGGCTCTCTGAATTTTTTTATTCTCCCCATTTTACAGTCTGGCTCAGCATCTGTCTGTGGAGAGCATGGAAAAAAGCTCAGTGGCGCTGCTCCAAGCAGCCCATGCAAAGTGTTTTCTGTGTGGTCAGTGAGAGAAAGTTTTTTTAGAGCAGCAATGATACAGTTAGGCAAAAAAGACAAAACTATGGCAACCATGATGCTTTTTTTCTATAAACTGAAAGGCTAGATTCAAATCACCAAGGGATTTTTAAAGCTCAAACTTCATAAATGTCAAAGTCCAGCTCATAGGCCAAGCATACTTCGAGCAGCCTACTGCTCATTTAGGAGTTGTTGAAAAGAATTTTCCAAGGACCTTGAATGTAGCTTAAAATAAACCACAAATATCTGACAGGAAACAGTTTAGAACCAAGGTGAAATGAAATGAAGGATAACACCAAAATGAATCCTCATTTGTTGGTCGCACATTTGCTGTCAGAAGCTGTTTTTACAGGCATATATGGAGCCAAATGCATAAGCTGTTTTAATCACATCATACCATCCATTCTTTCATCCGTCCTCTCAAAAACACCATTAAGAATGCGTTACAAATTGGCTCTAACGTTATACCCATGAGTCTCCACCAGTACCGTGCTGAGAAAACGGACTATTCTCCATCAATGTTAAAGATCAAAGCCACCCCAATGAGTTAACACTTGTATTCTGTATTTGCTTTGAACTCTGATACTGTTCCCCTCTGCGTCCCACCTCCATGAGCCAACTCGCAGTGGTTAGCGTCTTTGCCACTTGGATGAATGAGAGCTAAGCTTGCCACGATTTCCCTGGCATTACTGATGTCTGACTTTGCACTTTTCCCATGGCTTAGAGAGGAAGAAACCATAACTCCTCTGAAGTTAGGAGATCAGGGAGATGTTCCCACAGTGGAGGTTCGAAGTCTCTTCAAATGAGAGACTACGGGTCGGCAAAACAGTATGAGGCACTTCTTAGATTAAATGGATTGAATAATAGCTTCTAATTAGCATCTCAAATGGGTTGTTTCTTTCTGTAACTGTGAATGAAGGATGCCACAACAAGGTCTGCTAATTTTTTCCCCAAAAATAGTTCAAACAAAAGATGTGGTAAAATGGTTTATAGAGGCTCGGGTCGAAAATAATCTAGTGTGCTTGTAGTATTTTGTTGAAGGGGAAAGTGATACAATAATAGGAGGAATCCACTATAGTAATCACTAAGCCAATTCATTAATTTTTTTAAAAAGTAGCTACTTTTAATTGAGTAATCGTGACAGCCCTCAGGTGGCGTATGCTATAAGAACTTGGCTGGACAGCAACAGACAAAAGTTACTGAATGCTTTGGAAAAATCTAGATTTCTGCATGAATGCTTGCTAAAGTATGATCTAGGTGGTATTCACAAAGCTCAAAATATGACAACAGATCCAGGATCAGATTTGCTACACTCCTTACAGACTTACGATGTTCAGAGATGATGGGCAGAGCTGGCAGTTTCATCACTTATTTGAAATATTTGTTTCCATCACAGTTTTGCACATAAATGAGGGTTGTCAAACTCAACCAGAAAAAGGACCATATTAAAAAATCTAATCAAATCTGTGGGCCAGAGAAAAAATGTTTATATTTCTTTTTTAATTAGTGTTGTGCTATAACCCAAACTGGCTATAGTTTATTCAATATATGCTTCAACAGTAAAATACAGACACTTGTAGTAGACCTTGAAATATTACACGGACACTTGAAATATTC